TTACCTGTGTAGTCAGCATAAAAAAAAAAAAAAAAACGTAGGTTAAACGTATTTTTACAGGGCCCTTACAGATGATGCAACAGGTATAAAAGTCGCTGCCAAAATCGTAGTAGCAGCGTATAGTATATAATGTAAACACAGTGTAAACACACCCCCGTATTTAGGGGGATTATATGTACTGAATTGACCCAGCTATCCCCCACCAGGGGCTGCACTCCCTTGACCCAGCTATCCCCTCCAGGGGCTGCACTCAGTTGAACCAGCTATCCCCCTCCAGGGGCTGCACTCCCTTGACCCAGCTATCCCCCAACCCTAAAAGTGCACTCAGTTGACCCAGCTATCCCCCCCAGCCCCAAAAGTGCACTCAGTTGACCCAGCCATCTAGGCGTCTTATACTACTCACACCATAACTGCATAATGGGATTAGTCTCTCAGTTGATTCGACATCCAAGAGCAAGATCTAAAATGAGACAAGCTATTGACAAACAAGTTGATGAAACAGTCTGTTTGAAGTCCTCATTAGGAAAGGTTTATGGTCGGTAGAATAACCTTGTCATCAAATACAACCTAGTATCTAATTATTAACCATTATTCACACCAATTAACACGGAGTACCACATACATGTACCTCCCAATAAAGACAGATATTTACAATTTTTGACAAAATGCACTGGCAAACTGTTTATTACTATTCTCTTAACCATTTTATTTAAACAAGCCTGCATGCAGGTCTGTAGACAAAAAAATCGGTACTTTATGCATTAAATAAGCCAAATCTGAATGTAAGATTTTAAAGTTGTTGATAATAAATTTAAGTTCAAAATGCAAATCTGAAAAAAATTAAACAAATTCAAACAAATAAATTGTAGAAAAAAAAACATTGATTCTGAATTCTGACTTTTTCTCAGAAATTGTTTTCTCCTACATAAATCGGTAGGCCATCTTTTAAAATGCAAACACATCCTTTGTGGGGGTACAATACTTAAATAATGTTAGGATCAAAATGAAAATCCGAAAAATTTAGACACATAACACAGAAAATAACAAGGAACATTGATGAATTTGATTTCTGGCTTTTTCTCGGAAATTGGTCTTTCCAATAGATCATTTTTAAAGTCCAATAATTCCTTAATATTATCAAAGTTTACCTATAAAATAATCGAAACAAATATATGATCATATATTTTAAAAATTAAAAATGAAGATAAATGCCGAAAGAAAATATAATTGAAAACGAAAGTAGATACATTACTAAAAATGAATTAAAATATCTTGAATTACGTATCTTACCATAAATATAGACATTTCTATTCTCAACAGTTTAATTCATTTTTCTTTTAAAAAAAAAAAATATCTGAATGATACTTAGTATATTGTTTCTTCTCTATCGGATTTGTCTTACCAGTATTGGGGGGTTTCCGTTCCGTGAATATTGACCTCAATGTTCCGATGATAACACTTGGTGGGATTTGATTTTCAATTCGAGAAAGAATACTTGTTTGTTGCACTTATCGGTAGCTTTTCATCAAAGGAAAATTCATTTTGCATAAAATCTTTGACATTGGTAATAACTACAATGTAAACTCTAATTACTGAACCTAACTCTTTTTTATCATCCAATCAGCATTAGCTATAAATTTGTTGTTATATATTACATCATGAATTATAAATAAATATTTTTTGCACGTACATATAACCCCACAAATGCCTGCGGAAATAGCTTAAGTTCATGCTCACTCCAGTTATAAGATGTTGTCCTTAACATTTGTATTGCAATCGTTTAATTTAAATAAAATAAAAAAGTCTAGATTCATATTCGTTTTCGATAAACGGTCCTGAAATATAACGGTGACGGATCTAAGATTTATACCTACCTGACAATTAATGAACTGTACAATCATTTAAGGTAATGATAAATCCTATCCTCGGGTTCTGAAATTGAAAATGTTCATAAAATCTTATTTCAAAATGTACAGCTACAATATATGTATTTACCCATGATATACGTATCTTCAAAGCTCATCACTATATAGCTAATCATATTATATTGGTGATGTTATCAAATCTTAATCTATTTGTTTTTAGGATATTAATACAAATGAAAGCACCAGTTACGTAATTTTTAATTGTAAATTGATCGACAAATATATTTTGGAATAACAGTATAATAGGTATCCAGACATTTGGGGGGAAATACATGCTTTAAATAGTTATATGATAATTTAGTTTTTTTTCCTCCATCATTATACTGTAAACAGGGTTATTTTATAACACTTGTATTACATAACACTTGTGGACAATTTTGCCTCGATTCAAATTCGCCCTTTCATAGTTTTGTTTATGAAATTATACAGTATTCTTTGAATTCGCCCCGTTTTAAATTCGCCCAAATGAGGGTAGCGCGAACTTGAAAATAAAAAGGGACGGAAATTTCCCTGTATATAGTATTATGCATAGTGTAAATATCATGTTCTATCATCGGAAGACTTTTGATTTCGTATCATGGCTAACAAGTTTGGGTAGAGTTGATGGAAATTTGATTTATCTAAAGATGTATTCATTTTATTCTTTTATGGGGTATGAAATTTAGATTACAGTTTTTACAATACAGTTTTTTTTAAATGCCAGAGAACCTTGAATCATATTGTTTTAATGAAATAAAAAGTGTTGCACGAAAGATTTGAATTTTAAGCCTAATGTTGAGTCTTCTTTAATTAAGGTATTCTATCCCTAATAGCAACAGATTCTTTAAAATTGAATACATAACAGATGTTTAGATGAGGGATATTCAGTTTATTTAGACATAATTCCCATTTATGACTATAAGCATGTAAGGGTGCATAGTGTCCTATGACCTTTAATTGTTGTAAAAGATACATGTATCTCCCTCTGTTTTTAATTAATAAAATAATTATCTGGTAAAAAAAAAAATTAATTTCAAAAGTCATTACGTTTATGATGTTTCAATGCATTTTCCACCACAGTTTATGATATTTTTATAATTTGAATGTTTATTTAATTAAAAAAAATCGTTTTCCCATATTCTTCAATATAATCTTTGTTAATTAACTACTGCTTATGGTTATCCTTCCTGACTGAAGAGCGGATATCATTACATGTGTAATAGATGAAACACAGAGTAAAATGTGTGAATACATACTTGATCATGGAGTACCGTTAGAGTTTTTTTATTAATCTGAATGTTTTCATTTTTTAACACTTGTACTGTGAGTATTCAATATTTCATATTATATATATATATACGACGCCCCTGTACAATACATTTGTAGTTTATCAGAAAGAAAACTTTTTCAAAGTCCGGGTCAATGGTGAAAGCATGTTAGCAGTAAACGTTCCAAACATCGAGTCAATAGAATCTAAATAAACAACAAAATATATGTAAACATAAAAATAAGATTTTAATAAACTTTGATAAGAAAATATCACAGATTACAGCTTCTTTTTTCAGATACATGAAACAGTCAGGTTTATTCATTTAATTCCTGTGGAAAATTTTCCTTATTCTCTGGCACAGTCCAACTTTCTCGGTTTTCTTGGTTTTCACTTTTTTCTAAAAATAAAAAGAATGAAAATCTTCAAATCTAATGCTAGTATTCGGTCACAGATAGGACATTCAAACAGAGATGACTTTTATAATTATAAAGTATTCGGGAACTTGTACTCACTGGACAACAACATCACCGTATACAACGGGTAACGCGGGGGAGTCGCTAAAAAGTAAGGGGGAGTCGTTTTCAACGTATGGGGGAGTCGATTTTCACCGCTTCGGAGTCAGAAGAGATGTGGGTCACGTCTTTTTTCGGTATATGTAAGATGTATCTACATAAACCAACTAGCCCACGGAAGGTAGCAATAGTTAAGCTTTCTGTTGGTCATTTGTTCGGCTAGCATATACGTCTAGTTTTCTCAAACACTTCGAAACTATTCGACAGATTTCATATTTACGTTGATCGAGTGGTTAAAACATGCATAGTTTGCGCAATCTACGACTTGTGTAGGGACTATGACAGTTAAAACAGCAAAAGCAAACGTTTATCTTTCAAATGCAACTATTCAAACTTGGCTAGACCTGATAAAAATTAATAATTAAGGCATTTTTTCGTCAGACAGTAATGGTTACGAAGTGGGGAGTCGTTTCTGGAAAAACACAACGCATAGGGGAGTCGCAAAATAAAGTGAAATGAATACCTAACCTGGTGTTGTTTTTAGTTCAAGAAAATATCAGCAATATACATGTACAATTGGATTATATATCTAAGGAGCACATGTGCTTGGGGACAAAACGCTTCCCTAGCTCAGTATGAAATTTTCTTACACATCACAAAAAGTCAAAAAAGATCACGAACCCTCACTTTCAACAATGACAGCCTCTCCATAAAAATCAGATTTATAATATGGAAAATTTCTTAATAATAATATCAACCATTTTTTTTTATTACAAAAGTGGAAATCTCTGGCGCGTCATTCCAGCCCCTTGACTTCTTTTTTCTTTGGGGGGGGGGGGGGGGTAGAAATTTTTTAACTGGCATGTTGCCCTCGAACCCTGTCTATGAATGTATACATGGAGTACTGACTGTGTTTTACAAACCCAGATCATCCCAAATATATTCATTTAAGATACATCGGCTGTGCCTAAAGATGGGTTATTTTATATGATAAATAAAAAAATAAAAATAAATTATTTGTATGTCGACCAAATTGAAAGCATATACCAGTTAAAAAATTTCTACCCCCCCCCCCCCCAAAGAAAAAAGAAGTCAAGGGGCTGGAATGACGCGCCAGAGATTTCCACTTTTGTAATAAAAAAATGGTTGATATTATTATTAAGAAATTTTCCATATTATAAATCTGATTTTTATGGAGAGGCTGTCATTGTTGAAAGTGAGGGTTCGTGATCTTTTTTGACTTTTTGTGATGTGTAAGAAAATTTCATACTGAGCTAGGGAAGCGTTTTGTCCCCAAGCACATGTGCTCCTTAGATATATAATCCAATTGTACATGTATATTGCTGATATTTTCTTGAACTAAAAACAACACCAGGTTAGGTATTCATTTCACTTTATTTTGCGACTCCCCTATGCGTTGTGTTTTTCCAGAAACGACTCCCCCCTACGTAACCATTACTGTCTGACGAAAAAATGCCTTAATTATTAATTTTTATCAGGTCTAGCCAAGTTTGAATAGTTGCATTTGAAAGATAAACGTTTGCTTTTGCTGTTTTAACTGTCATAGTCCCTACACAAGTCGTAGATTGCGCAAACTATGCATGTTTTAACCACTCGATCAACGTAAATATGAAATCTGTCGAATAGTTTCGAAGTGTTTGAGAAAACTAGACGTATATGCTAGCCGAACAAATGACCAACAGAAAGCTTAACTATTGCTACCTTCCGTGGGCTAGTTGGTTTTTGTAGATACATCTTACATATACCGAAAAAAGACGTGACCCACATCTCTTCTGACTCCGAAGCGGTGAAAATCGACTCCCCCATACGTTGAAAACGACTCCCCCTTACTTTTTAGCGACTCCCCCGCGTTACCCGTTGTATACGGTGAACATGCTCCACAAAGGAATAGTCGCATCAGTGGATGTCTGGTGAAATAGTCGTTTTCAAGGTCACTTTCAGACTTTGATTTGTGGGCCTGGCACTCGATTACCTGTAAAAAAAAAAATATTATTGCAAAATATTTTAGGGGAAAATAATGATAATGTTATTTATAGTAAATAGACATGTTAATTTAAAACATATACAAAAAATACTCCGCATTTATGTTCTCTTTGTTCTCTTCAAAGTTCAAAACTTTTTAATATATCATAGGGAAAAATACTGTGCCGTATGGACAAACAGCAAAACTGTGAATTACATTTGTCCTTACCTCCGTTGACAAAAGAGTGATCTCCGTGTCAATGACCTCTAATCCAAATATATTACTGTAACAGAAATCAACCGTGTTAATTTCAGAATCAAAATAATAATTCAGACTTTTGAATTACAGAAGTAGATATTTTATAAATCTGTTTCAGTGTTTGTTATATTAACACATTCTTACTTTGTTCGATTCTCGGAGCTGCATGTCGGAATATTTCCGTCCCTCGTGGTGGTGTTCGAATTTCCTGCGACATTTGAGCTCTATAATTAGAAATAGGTATTTATTAATTTAAAAAAAATCACAAACATAATTCAATAAGTGGGATCATTTTACATCTACCAAAGATTTTTTTTTAAAAAAAAGAAGATATTATCTAACCTGTGACCCTTTGGGTACTTTTGTACCACTGTTTGTTCCACTGGTTCGAGTTTCAGCTGTGCCTGACGCTGTTCTGTAGTCTTCGTCCGATCCACTGGGAAGGTAGATAGAATGTTCTATCGTTAAAATGATATTGTCCTACGGACCCGGTTTAACTCTAACTGTGGTGAAGGCCTGTACCGAGACACAGTTAGATTATTCTAACTACTGGGAAGGTACTGGGCGTGAATCTCTCCTATAACAATCCCAGATTTTGCATCAAAAATGGGCGTCAGTCTCTTCATATGTTGTATCACAGAGTTGTCGATTTGGGGTTCCTCTTCCGATATTTCGGGTAATCCATTACCGCTTGCGCTGGCTTCAGTCCCTTGAATTTCGAGCTCTTCTCCCAGTTCCAGTAACTGACTTGGTTTCTTTGACTCCAAGAAGTTTTTGCTTTCCTCCTTCAATTGCAAATGCATGTTTTAGAAACAATAAGAATGCTATATAAATGCACTAGTACCCGGTATAATAATAACGTTTGTCGAAGATTCATAGTATCAGTATTACTATATTTTGCATTGTAAGATATTTGATTTTTGATTTTTTCCTACCTTAGAATTGGTCACTTCTTTTGTTGATGATTCATTTGCTACCGGGACATCTACTTTACTCTGAAATACAATGGAGAGACTATTTTTTTTTAAGATTGCAAGCATAAAAGAAGATTTTTTAAATACATTTTTAAAGTCATATTACATGTACATGTAGTTATATTCCAAAAGGGGAACTTTTACCAAGTACGAGGTTTTAGATTTATAAGTTGTGATTTTTTTTTTACAATAATTCATATCTGTGTAGCTGTTTCTTTAAAAATTCTTCAAATAAATTATTTGAATAATTATTTTGTACAGTAGTTACTGTAGTCGATATCACTGTAAAATAGTATCTAAATTAATTGCTGCAAAAGAAAATGTACTAGGTATAGTTTATGTACAACAATTTGTCATAATTTCTTAACCTGAGTTTGTTTAAAGTATCTACTCACCTGATTATGAATATCCATTGCTTCAAAGCGCACGCTTTTGCTTCTGATGTAAACAATATTCTGACATTTGTTGCTAATAGTCTAAGGAATAATGACGTCATAATTGTCATTGTGACGTTGCAGTTGTCTGTGACGGTTGGGCTTAAGGCCAAGATCTAGTAAATGAAAGGTGCCTACAGATTTATCAAACTTGAGAAATAAATTCCTTTATTGATGCTTTACAACTTTAGGTTGGTCAAATAAGGTGTTTCGGGGCATAATTTGTAGGTAAACAAGATGAAAAACTGTATTTTAAACTGTCATTCTTAATGAAAAATATAAAAAACCAGTCATGAAAATGGAGTTTTTTTCGTATTCGGCAAAGGAAATGTATCCAGATTGCCTACAGTCTCTCAGAAAACGGTAATTAGCATGTTCATGGCCTCTTCTTTAAATCAATATCAAATTTAATATAGGTATCCGGTTTACTTTTCATATGATTTCACACTGAATGTTATGAAAATACCCTATTTTCTACATAATTCTGCTAAAGCCGTAAAGTACGGGAAAAAGAAAGTTGAAATTGATTATGACGTCATAATGGATCTAGCGCCAAAAAATTAGTCTCAAGTTATTTACTGGACCTTATTTAAGTATTTCATTTTGCTAACCTTTCAAATTATTATCAAAAGTCAGGCTTCGTCCGTTATGTAAAGTATACCAAGTTTCCAACTATCGTATTATACTAACTATGTGCTACTTGATTCCTTAAAATTAAAAAATATCAGTCATAAACTCGGGCACGATATACTTATCATTATAAATCGGGCTCGAAGTTAAAAAAAAATAAAAGGTCTTTCGTGTACACCCCTGTGCTGTGTATCGATAATTTGTAGTTCTACTATTTTCATGACTTCAAAATGATACACAGTTTATTTATTATCAACGGTAGTGGGTGAGTACACTAGATAACATTACCATGATTTTAATTCTCGTCCCACTGATGAGATTTATGTCTTTTAATGAAAATGCAGGGGTTGGCATCTTTGATTTCAAAAATTTGCTTGGGGAAACCTGGTAGTACGATTACCCCCTCCCCCAACATAAGCAGAAGAGGGAACCCCCTCTAGCATCTACCCCTCTTATTGCCGTGTGACACAGTCAGCAGTCAAAAGCTGCTGGATACCTAGTTTAACAACGGGGCAAGTAAGAATTCAAAGTTGCTTTCCTAACAGGTTATTTTGTGTTCAAAGTCAGTGTCTGCACTTGCAATACTTGTTTCAGATGCTGAATTTTATTCGACATGCTCATTTTCCATTGAGTGACTGGATTACAGAAATGTAAATGCAATATCAATAATCATGGATGATGCATATAATATGTATAATAATACATTATGTAAACTCATACCTGTCAACATGGCCAAAATTTTTGATTAAAAAACGACCTTTTGCAAATACAAAAAGTCATCGCGCGTTTCACTGTTTTATAGAACAAAAATAAACAACAAGATAAAACTTTATTAATATTAATATTAACACCATCATTAATTCATAAAATTTACTGTTTATTCATACATTGTTTAGAAACTTGTACAATGTGAATTAATTTTGAAATTATAAAATTTTATGTTCACTATCAATTCTGCCAGTCCATAAGAGCATCATTTAAATAATATTCATGGCAAATGTTGTAGTTTAACTTGGCAATTAAAAAAATTAATAAAGTTCTGCAGACAGTCTTGAGTTTCAAGCTTTCAATAGATGGATGAATGGATTTTTCTCACTAAGTCTAAGGGACATGAGTTGTATCCTTGATTTAAAGATCTGAAATTGAAATAATTGTCAAAACTTTATGCTTACATTCTTAAAATAATGTGTAATATAGTATGAATGAAATACCCTGTATTTTCTTTTCTTTTAATCTCATAACATATATCAAAATTTTTAAATATAATACTTTATTTTAGAAATATTCTAATGTGCTTATTTTATATTTCAATTTAGAAATGCATTACCCTGTTTAGCTTTGTAAATTTAAAGAAGTCTTCTAAAGACACTGTCTTGTTGCTCTGTAGTTTCAGGGGCTGTTATATGTTGATGCAGGATTTACTAAGTCATTGAATCTCAAAATCTGTTGGGAAATCTTCAGCTGACTCTGAACATTTATGTTAGCTTCCATGAAATTGTTTCCCTCTCCTTGTTAAATTAATAATAGAGTACTGTAGCCACACCTTTCCTGATCACTGTATTGTTTATGGAGTAATAGTTTTGTCTTAGGCACTTGTAAACTTATTTGCAGCAAAGTATCAAGTACTTCCATATCGTTCTTTAACGTCATGTTCTGTAAAAATTTCCACATCTGGCATCTCTGTCTTTGATAATATACACTTTTAATGAGAATAAGGAGCAATTACAACTGCAATTACATTTGCTAGCACAGTTGACACCTTGTTGATTACCTGTTATCAGTGGCAATAAACAGATTAGCTATCGATATAAACACTGCATGGCCTCCATTTTTGTGTTGACTAGTCGGTATTTTACGAACCCAAGTAGGTAAAAAAATCCGGAATTTTTCAAAATCGGTAGAAACGGCAGTTTAAAAAAAAATCGGTAGACAGTCGGTAGGGATGGTTAAAAATCGGTAGACTCCCGATAAATTCGGGAGAGTTGACAGGTATGTAAACTGGGCTTGGATGCTGAAACTTATCAGATGATTGATTAAAAAAGATTTTTGTGCAACCCAGTTATTCCCAATTAACCACTGTTAACTTAAGAAACTTACCCAGACTAAACTTGCTTAAATGTTGCACCTATAGGGATGCAAACTACCAGAATGTTTGTAAGCGTTGTTTTCCCTTTATTGCTATGTAAAGCCTACTAAAGGGTTAGAGATCAATTGTAACAGGCTTTGGACTAAGATTTATGAACAAACACTCTGTGGACCGTACAGCAATTAAATTACAATTTTTATTTCAAATTTTTGTCAATTGGAAGTAGTCGGCAGTTGGATCCTAGGGAAAACACTGTTTGTTTAATGTAAAACTTAGTTTATCTTGAAGATACATGCAAAATTTGATGAGGCCAGCTATGTACTCTATTTAGGATTGTCCCTAGAACATGGAGGCTGGAGAATTTATCCATCTTTATTGATGTAATCCTCCAGTTACTCTGATATTCCCACTCAACCACCTTTCAGGGGAAGAACCCCAAACCCCCTACAGCTTTTTCAAATCCCCTGTTATTTCAGTTTCTAAGGGGCAATCCTGTTCAATTGCTTATGTTTTACTTATATGAACATACATTTAAATGTTAATTTTATGACTTCTTTATGAAAAGGCTTTATTTGTATCATCTATCCTTAAAATTAAAAATTCTTCAAAAATGTTGCATTGTAAGACCTAAACAGAAATGAAATTCATTGATACATAACAGATAGAATGCCACAGGATAAAGGATAAAAATAATATTTGAAGAGTTATCGACAAATCTGAATGATCTGAAATTTTTACAGAGATGTGTTTATGGAGAAGCACTGGAAGAGTGTTGTACACAAATCAATATGTGACTACTTTTTTGAAGAACAAGGAAAGGTATGCAACACATTAATTTCAATGATCCATTTTGCATTTATTTTCAATCAGCTTAAATTCAAAATCAATTCAAAAATAAAGTATACATGAACTGAAAATATTTAATGCCTTTTTGATTTCAATATAAAGGCAGGGAATCCAGAAGATGTACCTCCAGTCATTGCCACCCCTCATCACTACCTCCTTAACATCTACAGGAACCAGCTGTATTTTGTGGCAGTAGTCACCACAGAAGGTGGGTATACCTCAGGCCATTGGTCCCTAAAACAATATACCGGTATTCTATTTGAAGTCACTGAAGAAAATGGTTACTTCATAGCCATTAGTGACTACAGAGCTGGATGTCGCAAAATAAGATTACCTCTGAGTGTGGTACATCATAACCATATCATAATCACATCAATGGTCTATGAATTTTGTAGATCTCTTTGATGTATACATGTGGTACCTTATATTGGTTATAAGTAAATAAGGTGGCTAACACATATAATAGTGAACTTGGAAGGTTGGTATTTTCATGCTTCTTATAACATGGGTATTTATAGCAATAGTCACTGCAGAGGGTAGGCATCTCATGATCTTATTCACTTTTAATAGTAGAAAGTATGCATCTTTTAGCAATGGCAGCTTTGAAGAGAACACTTTATCAACTTCAAAATTAATGGACATCTCATAATACTACGTACCAAAATGTAATACAGTAAAACAGTAGTTACATGTACAAATTTACATGATGGTCGATGGAATATGTGACTGCATGGACTCAATTATTAAAATGAATAAATGAGATATGTTTTTCTATGCAAACATTCTTTCCTAGAGCATGAAGAGAGCTACATTTCTGCAGTTTTTCATTCATTTTTGTTTGATTTCAGTACCACCACTGTTTGTCATCGAGTTTCTTCACAGGATTTTTGACACATTTGAGGACTACTTTACAGAGTGTTCAGAGACTACACTGAAGGAACACTTTGTTATTGTGTATGAGGTAAATAACTCATCCTTCCTTATAAAATGTTTGTGGGTTTCTACCATATGCTGATTAGACCTCACATTTTAGCATTACTTAATAGACACTTGGCATCTAAAGGAATGTCTCTTTTTACAAATGCTGACAGTCTGTCACCACATGTTATTGATGACATGGCAAGTAACTTCCACTCCCTCTGAGGAACATGCTTATTTTTTCCCCTTAATACCACTGATCCATCGTCTTATGGATGTACTGATAGGTGGCAAAAGCAACAACCATTTATTGAATCGCTTCCCCTTTCTCTCTCTCATACAATACACATAAATCTGAATGAACTTTCCAGTATTAAAGAACAAGTGAAATACTATTTATGTTTTAACAGTTACTGGATGAGATGTTGGACAATGGTTTCCCGCTGGCAGTGGAGTCTAATATCCTGAAGGAACTGATCCGACCTCCTAACTTCCTACG